GAGCAGGAAGGCAGAGCGACGTCCACAGCCGAGCAGGAAAGCGAGCGACGTCCACAGCCGGGTAAGGAAGCCGAGCGACGTCCACAGCCGAGCAGGGAAGCCGAGCGCTCCACAGCCGAAAGCAGGGAAGCCGAGCACGTCCACAGCCGAGCAGGGAAGCTGAGCGACGTCCACAGCCGAGCAGGGAAGCTGAGGCGTCCACAGCCGAGCAGGGAAGCTGAGCGACGTCCACAGCCGAGCAGGGATGCTGTGCGACGACCTCAGCTGAACAGGAAGGCTGCGCGCCGACCCTCAGCTGAACAGGACGGCTGAGCGACGACCTCGGCTGAACAGGAAGGCTGAGGCACCTTAAGGTAGCTGAACAGCGGGGAATCCCTGAGGTCCGCGAACAGGTGGTAAATTTCATGAGTCCGCGCGCAGCCGGAGCGTCCTCACACACATAGCGGGCGGAGAGACGATAAGCCATCACAGGACTCCCGCCCCTCGGCTGCACTCTGAGGTAGCTGAACAGCGGGGAATCCCTGAGGTCCGCGAACAGAGGCGAATTCAGAGTCCGCGAGCCGAAGCGTCCTCACGCACATGCGGCGGGCCCGGAGAGACTTCCCCACAGGACTCACCGGCTGCGCGACTCTGAGGTAGCTGAACAGCGGGGAATCCTTGAGGTCGGCGAACAGAGGGGAATCCATGAGACCCATCGGGGAGGGAGGGTGGGAGCAAACTGCTGTATCCGAAAAAAATAAATAAATAAAAATCTACTGCTTCGTAGCACGGTCTTTCGTTCTGTCACGTTTGGCGAGTTGAGGCAGAAGCAATCGTAGATTTTTTAAACATTTATTTTAAACACAGCGAATCCAAACAAAAACACTAGGACAACTGGGCATAACACTGTGGCAAGAAACAAACACGGAGACAGAAGTGACGTGAGTCTATAACAACGAAAGACACCGAAAGAGTGCAGACAAAGACTATATATACACAATGGTGCTCATTAACAAAAACGTGAGTCAGGTGCATGTGGTCAGGTGGTGTAGTGCAGTGGCTGATGGGACATGGAGTCCCGAGTTTCCGAGATACGTGACACCTAGCATGTTTTACTGCAGTGACTTAAAAATACCTGACATATGAGTTAAAACATCAATTATACCATTATTAATAATGGATTTCATTATTCCTCATAATGAAATGTTGATATATGTGAAATGTTGATATATTCAAAAGAAGACTTCACTCAACGTGAAGAAATAAGCTATTATTGGAGAGTCATTTAGTGATTTGTCTAGATATTCTAAATAAATGTTAGCAAAAGTTACAAAATAATTGTTTAGGTGTTTCATTTCAATATATTTATATGGAATAACTACTGTACATATTATGATATAATATGCTATACCACCCAAAAATTATTAATGAACCGCAATGACTCCATATGGCATCATTATTTTCCAACACAAAATGCAACAAGAAACACTAGTCAGTCATATGTTCCAATATTTTTATTAAAATAAATGGACCAAAATTGTTGGAACATGTGACTAACAGTTGTTTCTTGTTGTCCATATGTGCTCTATTAGCTTCATTGTTTAAACAATTAATAGCTCTGAATATCTACTCTTGGTTTAACCCTCATACCTCGTATGGCCAAAAAACCGGCTTGCCCATCTTTGATCTGTTTCCGTAAGTACAAAATACCGGCTTGGTCATCTATGCCAAATCCCCGTAAGGCCGATATAGCGGCTTTACAGTGTAAACGTTATCCCCATAAGGCTGGTACACCGGCATTACTCTGCTATGATTCCTTAATTATTTAATTATTATTTTTTGACCCGGAAGATTGGTGACGTAATGACATCACGACGTGATTATGTTATTACGCCGGCATTACGATGAATATGATCCTAACATGAATATTGGTGTAATAGTAGAAGTGAACTAAAAATGCCAAAGCGAAAAGCTAATCGTGTTCCAGCTAAAGTTACACCTACAGTGAACACAGGTACATCTAAAACAGTGGAAAAAAAAGAAAACATGCATAGTTACACAGGCGAGAGCAAGGATTCTAGATAGTGACAGCAGTAAAAGTCCAGGCGATGTTGAAACCGAAACCAAAACTGATAGTGACGCAACTCTCATGGTCCAGACCCTGATCCGTCTTCATCTTCAGCATCAACCAGTGCGACTGTGACTGCAGGGGTTTGGAGTCATAACATGACCATTTCTGTGCACTCTTGAAAACAGTACCTGCTGGTCTGATTATCACCAGAAACTTGACTTTTGGCGCAAAAATACATTTATTTATTATTTATTATTTACTTATTATTTTTATTCAAAGGCATTGACGACACTGATGCTCGTATGGTACTTCTAAATGAGTAGAAGGATTTTAGCGAGCATTTTTTTGTAATTTCTCTGGTTAAGAATTGTGCTCTAAGTTTAGTAAAAACACTGAACTGCTTCATTTTCAAAGTAATATTACACAAATACATTATTATAAGTTGTTTCAAGGCCTAAAAATGTTAAAATTAAAATGTTGATTTTGGCCCAGGAACTCAGGGTTGGCGTGCTGTTTCTCTGGGGAATATAGGGTTATGGGACATAATACTGTGAGAATGTAGGGGTAAGATGGTTAAGCCTCGTTCTTTTTTTTTTTTTTTTACTCTTTCAGTAAGACTGCATTTGTTGTTCAAAAGGGTAAACCAACATGAAGACCAGAGAGCTGTCTAAGGGAGAATGGCAGCCGTTTCAAAGCTGAGGAATGAGGGAAAATTTATCAAATTCATTATATAAGCATTGGGCATAGCCAATACAATAATTTGTAATGTTCTGAAAAAGAAAGAAACCACTAGTGTACTAACATCAAACAGGTTGGCTGAGAAAAACAACAGCAATTGATGACAGAAACATTATGAGAACTGTGATGAAAGCCCTCAAAACAACAGTCAGTGACATCACCAACAACCTCTACAAAACTGAGGTGAAGGTATCACAATCCACCATTTAAAGAAGGTCATACCACAAGATGCAAACCACTCATCAGCAGTAAGATTCAGAAAGGCAGATTGGAATTCATAAAGAAATACAAAGATGAGCCACAAACGTTCTGGAACCAAGATTAACCTCTACCAAAATGATGGAAAGGCCAAAGTGTGGAGAAAGAATCCATGATCCAAAACATACGCGCTCATCACTCAATCACAGTGGTGGTAGTGTCATAGCTTGGGCTTGCATGGCTGCTTCTGGAACAGGATCACTAATGTTTATTGATGATGTAACTCGTGATGGTAGCAGATGAATTAATTCAGAAGTTTACAGAAACATTCTGTCTGCCAAATTACAGAGAAATGCATCCAGTCTAATTGGGAGGAACTTCATCATGCAGCAAAATACATTGCCAACACAACAAATGACTTCATCTGGGGGAAAAGTGGAAGGATTTAGGCTGGCCAAGTCAATTACTAGTCCTTAACCCATATAAGCATGTATTTCACCTCCTGAAGAGGAGATTGATGGGAGAAAACTCCCAAAAAAACAACAACTGAAAGAAGCTGTGGTAAAAACCTGGAAAAGCATAACAAAAGAAGAATGTAACAGTTTGGTGATGTCAGTGGGTCACCGGATTTGATGCATTTTTTGCAAGCAAGGGATATGCAACCAAATTTTAAGTGTTTTTTACTTTTATTTACTTTAAGATTCGAATTTGTTCTTATACTTTTGCTCACCAAAAAAAATGAGTGCTCTGTATATACAGTACATGTGTGTACAGTGTGTATGTGTCACGTTAAGCCAGACAACAAACTCCAGCTCGCAACATTCACCCTCTGCCTAGAAACATGGCCTCCCTGGACTCCACTTCCCAGAACACGAACACAGTGGGTGCATCTCAATCAGCTTCCTTGCTCCCTAAAGTAGGTCGTGAATCAGCTCTTAAAATGGCCGACTCCCTCATCAGTTCCATGACTACTGAACTAGGAAGCTGGCTGAGACAAACCCTCTCACAAACATATGCCAGTTGCGAAGTATACGCTCAGCTTACTTGATGTTACCAAGCCTGTTTTTACTGTTATTGATTGTGGTTTGACTTTGTTTCTGTTCCTCAATTTCCTTGTTTTGCATAGCCCAGTTTGCTGATCAACTGACCATAGCCAGCCTTTGAACTTAGTGTGTTGGATTGTTTGCGTGAACTCTCATTAAACCTGCTTTACCTGCCAATTGCATCTGTCTCAGCTTTTATTTTGTGACTGTGTGTGTGTGTATATATATGTGTGTGTGTGTGTGTGTGTGTGTGTGTATGTGTGTGTGTGTGTGTGTGTGTGCGTGTGCGTGTGTGTGTGGGCTGGAAATGGTTAGAAACACCTCACTGTGAACTGTAGATGGTTGCATCCATACATGAAATAATGCCTCCAACATGTCTTATTAGCTTTGTCATTGGTTATATAATCAATGCTCTTTTTCATCCTGCTTCCTGTGAATTTGCTCTAAGTCTCAAAATGCATGGCTGTATTCCCTATAGCCTCTCCTACTCTAATAGCCTCTGCCTCCTGAAACCTCCACATCTACAGGCCTGTTTGCCTCTGTGTTTCACTGAAATTCACACCATACTAGTGGTCAATACACAGTTTACTAAGTCCTTATGCATATATCAAAGAGGCACCAAGGCTATCACATTCTCACATAGGCCTCTTTGATGTCTGGTTAGAAGTGTTAAAGGGGAAGTATAATAAAACCATTTTTTTTTTAGTCTCTCTTCCTCTGCCTGAGGGCTGGACACAACGATGGCAGTTCAACCCATATTGTGTTCCAATTACAGTAAGCCATTCTGTCTCACACACTGAGGAGTCCTAATTTTCAACAGGCAAATGATTGAGACAGTTGTATGGTAAAAATCACACATTACATTTTCAGCATTTGGCAGATACCCTTATCCAGAACAACTTACATATATCTCATTAATACAACTAAACAGTTGAGGGTTAAGGGCCTTGTTCAAGGGCCCAACAGTGGCAGCCTGGTGGTGTGGGGATTTGAACTCACAACCTTTTGATCAATAGTCCAACATGTTAACCACTGAGCTACAACTGTACAAATATGCATATGCACACAATGTATGGTCAAACTACAGTCAAATGTGAATTTATAAGGATAGACTAGAAAGTTTCAAATGTAGCACATCCTGTTTGTTTCCTTGTCAACAAGTCAGCAAAGCATTAGGCCAATATTTCAACTACAAGTTGCAGTGTTCTCTCCTCACTTTGCATGTTAAAGGATATAATTCAAGCCTGGCTAACTGGCTAGTTAATTTTCTCTCAGCGTGTTTAACAGTGAGGTGACTTTTGTCAAGCAGGAGAGTTAAAATATTTGGCAGCTTTAAGCTGAACTTTATTTTGCTCAGTTTCATCAGGATTTCATAATACTTGCATGGTTCTATTTCTGAAAATCATCCATTTCACCTATGAACACTAATTAATCCTGCCAGTCATTTTACTGACAGCTACAGTATATTTTGCCTCGGTCAGTGTTTGTGGTGCAGCAGGTAGTGGGACTTAGAAGTAGCTTGCGCACTAGTCAGTGCATCAAGGTGTGTTGCACCACTGTTTGTTTTCTGACACTAATAGCCAGACCATGTAGTGTGATTCTCCCTGATGCATGAGTTATTGATATGTCCACCCCTGCATTAAAAACGAAGTCATCAAAAATGTCAACAATGCAGAGAGCCTAGAGTCCTAGGAGATATCCTCTGGAGAATCAGGTGGCCACTGAAGTGTAAATGTCAGTCATTGTCTTTTTTTTTATTACAGACCAGATTACCTCCTCTCATCTTGTGAACTCAATACAGCTGCAATTGAACCTATTATTGACAGCATACAAATTACTTTTGATGTGTGTATGCAAATGCTACATCCGTGTAGAAGCACGCATAAATTCACACACACGAATCGAGGTTGCAGCACTGGGATGTTATTACTCCACTTATCCCAGTATGTGCACACACCTTTGATTCATCTAGTGGTTTTGTGAGCCATGATCCTCCTCCTCCCTTTCCCTCAAATATTTCTGCAAGGATTATCTGACCTTCATGAAAATTACTATACACTGAAACAAACACACACATGTACACACACACACACACACACACACACACACACACACAAATGCATACTCAGAGTAGGGAAATAATGAGCTTGTGCACTAAGAGAGCCTCCTCTGGCACACCGAAGGCTGAGACACCTTACCACATACCTAATTACTGCTGTATTCAACTCAATTCACCTCTTTTAAAGCAGAACTAGTAATGGGCTATTAGTGCTAACAAAAGGACAGAGCAACAGGACAGAGATTATAATGGTACAATGTTCCAGGCAGTTGCCATCATCAACATTGCAGAAGTAGCAAAATACTTTTTAATGTGTAGCCTCTATTCACCAAGAAACATTTAATTCAAAATGACAGTTGTTCACATTTTTTTTCTTTCTTTGCTTATTTGCTAACATTGCAACATGAACATATTCAGAAACCGAATACTGGATTAACTTGCTTTATACTTTATTATTCTGTTGTGCAAATCTGTTCTTACATACAGTGTACATGCTGGTTTTGAGATATTCATTAGTACATACATAGCATTTAATCTAAAATGTTAATGATCATATATGTATGTATTACTTTTATTTCATCATAAAACAGCATATCACACATAGTGGAATGCTGTGAGGCTGTGAATACTCCCACAAGGTACAGCGGCTTATTTCACGGCTATGAAAACCCGCACACCACATCATCACATTAAAATTCACACATCACATAACTTTACCATCAAAGGCCTGCTCCATTCCCTTTTTTTTGGGTGCCCGAGGCTTCCCTAGGCATCTTCCTGTATGTGAAAATGGAGATGCATTTTCCTGAATAATCTCATCATATTAGTAACACCTCTAACACTGTGACTTGTGGATTATGCAACCATGCATCACATGCTGAGAACAGGCATTAGAGGAGACATTTGCAATTTTACATTTAATGTTATTGAATTAATTATGACAGGTGCTGTTCTAAAAAAAGAAGCACAGAGATGCATGTATAGAATCATTATACAAATCATTTGAAACAATAAGCTTTGGTCAGACAAAACAAAAACAGAACTCTGTACTCTGTAATTCAGCTTGTCATGTTTGGAGAAAGACGGGTTCCACATATGATCTCACGAACACCATACCCACAGTTAAATATGGGGGTGGGAGCATCATGATATCGGGCTGCTTCTGTGCAAATGGTACTGGGGCATAACACTTCATTGAAGGAAACATGAATACAGCAATGTACCAGGATAGAGGAGAACTTAATCTCATCGGCCAAGAAACTAAAGCTGGGGAGAATATGGATGTTTCATCAAGACAATGACCCAAAACATACAACCAGAATAACTCATGAAGGCCTTGCATGACCTCGTCTTGAATCCCACTGAAATTGTGAGTCCATAAGAGGGACTCCTCATAACCTTAGGCAAAGGAAGACCAACTGCCATGTAGAAGGGGCCAAAATTGAACCACATTCCTGCAAAAAGCTACTCACTGTACATATCTCGAAGCTGTAACTGCCAACACTTTTTCTGCAACGTCCTAAAGGTGAGAACTTTTTCGTTTACATTTACATTTATTCATTTAACACTTTTTTATCCAAAGTGACAAATGAGGAAATACAAGCAAAACGATATATAAAACAGAGAACAATGCAAGTAGTGCTACAATACTTGATATTTAACTAAGTGCTAGAGGCGGAAAAGTGCACAGATTAGAGGTGTAAGATCCAGCGTAAATGCAGATTTATTTATTTATTTATTTTTTTGAGTGGGGACAAGTTAGGGGTTTGTAAAGTCTTCACAGAAGAGGTGTTTTTTTTTTTTTTTTAAGATATTGATGGATTCTGCTTTCCGGATTGAAGTTGGGAGTTCATTTTCAAAACTTTTCAAACACTTTTTCACAGCACTGTATATCTCTAGCAGAGTTGTAATGGAATTAAAGTCAACTTTGATACAGTGAAGGATAGTAAAGGGAAGAATGAGAATTCACAAAATGAAATAACACATGCAATAATTCAATTTCTAACTCTTGCTTGGTTGTATGAATGGATTGTCAGAAGGTTTATACTTTGATTGCTTCCTTGTCTGTCCTCTTATGTCTAATTTAGCTTTTTGTGCTGACTGCAGTGAGGTGCCTTTTAATTTTGCATGCTAAGCTAAACAGAGTGTAAACTGGCACCAAACACCCTGCACAAGTAGTTTCAGCAAGTACAGATGACACTGTCACTATAGATTGGTCAAGCCAAACTACAGACTAACCAATCTTCAATATTTAATAAAAAATTATAAGGCAAAGATTTAACTACTTGTGTATTGTGATTAGTGAGAATCTAAATGGTATGTTTGTCATACTGATTAAAAGTTGATAGTATGTTTCATATATTGATTGTAGATGGATAGATGGTGTATAGTAATTTGATCAGTGACAACTTAGCTAATTTATCAATTTAGCTAGGCCATAGATGCGTTTTATTTAAGAAGGAATGGGGGGTCTATATGTGCTTGAAAGAAAGAAAGAAAGAAAGAAAGAAAGAAAGAAAGAAAGAAAGAAAGAAAGAAAGAAAGAAAGAAAAACCAGTTGGGAGGATCTATCCTGGGCGCATGCTGTTAGGATTCAGTCCATGTCCTGACACTGTGTGCAGCGTAAAGCCAATAAGAAAGAACTGTCATGGGATTCTACAATAAAAATGTTGCACATTGTGGAGAGAGAAAGTGAGAGATGGAGAAATAGCAAAGGATACACGCTGGTATTAAATATTCAGCATACAATAGCTCCAGCTATAGCTTGTTCAGAAGATTTCCATTTCCACATCATGTGAATCATCTGTGCTGGCATTGTGCAGTCACATTCCTATTAAACAACTCGCTCTGTGAATCCTACTGAGATTGGGACTTACAGGAACCCTGATCTGGCAAATATTGAGTTTATATTAGAAAGGCAGAAATATTCTCATAACTCATACTTCGCTTAAAAGAACGCTGTCGTTGAAAATTAACATTCATGAGTGAATAGTAATCAGGCAGAGTGTATTCAGGGCATGTGCATCCCTCTGGATTAATAGTCAGCTATTAGGTTAGTTAGTGAGGTATTACTGGCAGACTGATGAGCCATAACATTAAAACCACTGGCAGGTGAAGTGAATAAACGTTGATTAACTCGTTAAAATGGCACTTGTCAAGGGGTGGGATATATTAGGTAACAAGTGAACAGTCAGTTCTCAAAGTTGATGTGTTGTAAGCAAGAAAAATGGGCAAGTGTGACTATCTGAGCAACTTTGTCATGGCCATGGGCTTTGTCGTGGGGTGTTCCCGGTATGCAGTGGTTACCAATGGTTTTGGTAACTACCAAAAGTGATCCAAGGAAGGACAACCGGTGAAGCAGCAAGAGGGTCATGGGGAGCATGGGGACTGAAGGCTAGTCCATCTGGTCTGATCCCACAGAAGAGCTACTGCAGCACAAATTGCTGGAAAATGCTGACAGTGATAGAAAGGTGTCAAAACACACAGTGCATTGCAGCTTGCTGAGTATAGGGCAGTGTAGTCTCCATTCGGTGAGAGTGTCCATGCTGACCCTGTCCTCCACCGAAAGTGCTTACAATGGGTACGGGAGCAGCAGAACTGGATGATGGAGCAATGGAAGAAGGTGGCCTGGTCTGATGAATCATGTTTTCTTTTATTTAAAGGATCTACTGCTAACATCTTGATGCCAGATACCACATCACACCTTCAGAGGTCCTGTAGAGTCCATTGCTTGATGGGTCAGAGCTGTTTTGGGAATTTATGTTAATTTCTAACAAATTAACTTTGCACAACATTTATTTGCGCATTTACCAGGAGGTTGCCCATGTGAGCCACGACTATAATCAAGCAGCTGATTATATTATGTTATATCAAAAGATTAATTTATTTGGCTTTAAATGAAATCATTTTTGACAAAATGTACCTGTAATCTGATTACTTTGATGTAACTGTAACGGATTACAGTTACCAGTTTTCTTTATCCTGATTA